AGGGTACACAGGTGATGTGTGCCCAGGTGTGAGGGTATCTGGGTGTAGGTGTGCCCAGGTGTGAAGGTACGCAGGTGAGGTGTGCCCAGGTGTGAGGGTATCTGCATGAGGTGTGCCCAGGTTTGAGGGTACGCAGGTATGGGTGTGCCCAGGTGTGAGGGTATGCAGGTGAGGTGTGCCCAGGTGTGAGGGTATGCGGGTGTGGGTGTGCCCAGGTGTGAGGGTACGCAGGTGAGGTGTGCCCAGGTGTGAGGGTGTCCAGGTGTGGGTGTGCAGATGCCCAGCTGGGTGAGAGGACGTTCAGGCGTGAAGGCACCTGGGTGCAGGTGTCGCTTGTGTGGGCCTGAGGGTGTTGGCAGTGCGTGGGTGTGGCAAGAGGACACGCAAGTGCCAGGGTGCCAGGTGTGTGTCCAGAGTGTGGATCAGATGATGCGTGGGAAACAGGTGTGTGGGTGTGTGGGGAAGAGGGTGTATGGCAGGCTGGGTAGGTGGGAGGGTAGGAGGGGGCCCAGGTGTGGGTGTACGTTTGTAAGTAAGCCAAGGGGCATGCAGGTGTGGGGGTTCCCAGGTGTGTGGGGAAGAGGACATGCGGGTGTGTGGGTTCCCAGGTGTTTGATGCGAGCGTGTGAGGGAGCCCAGGTATGTGAGCGTTAGGGTGTCAGGTTGACACTAGGCAGCTGTCCTAGGTATGAGGGGCTGAGCCCTGGTGAGTCGGGGCCACGTGTCCCCCTACAGGTGTACGATGTTCTCCTGGGAGTTTCCAGGTGTGAAAGTGAGGAGGGGCTCATCCACATATCTTGGTTCTGGTGTCCGGGAGTCCTGGTGGCCGTGTGTGTCTGTGCGGGTTCCACGAGCACCTCTCCCTGTGACCAGCCGAGGGTGTGGGGCCCCAGGGTCTCAGCCTGTGCCTCAGAGCGGCCTGGGGGGGTCCAGGAGCTCGGCTGTAAGTGGCTTCTCAGGGCCACTGAAGGGGGCTGAGGGCTTTGGGGACCGCAAGTAACTGACCTTCCCCCCTCCAGATTGTATCGGCTGTGCACTATTGTCACCAGAAAAACATTGTACACAGGGACCTGAAGGTAAGCCCCACACCCCACTGCGACCTCAGGGACCCCGGCTCCGCCCACAGGCACCCCGACTTCTCCCTGCCCCCTATCCCCTGCATGGTTCCCCTGTACCCTCCAAGAAAGCCCCCACCCTCTTCTCCTGACACCCCTCCCTCGCACCCGGAGCCCTCGACTCCTTCCCAGGCTTGCGTGGCAGCAGGTGGGCAGGAGGGGCAGGAGGAGTGAACGAGGGGAAGAAACAAAGTGTCCCCGGACGGTTGCGTGGGTGTGGGACAAGGACACTGGGATGCGACAGAGTTCATCGCTCTCAGCGCCTTCGGGGCCTTGGCATCTCTCAGACCCTAGGGCGTTTGGGAATCCTCGAGAATGTAGACTGCGCAGCCCCGGAGTCACCCCGCGGGCCTCAGAGTCACAGGAGATCTGAGGACTTGAGAAGGGCCTTTGAGAGAGAAGTGGGGACTCGGAGGGGCGATGCCAGCCACCTGTCGGCTGAGCAGGGCAGCCCCTCGTGTAGCTCCGTGTCCCCAGGGTCCCCGTCCCCCACCTCCCATGCACGTCTCGGGACTTCTCCCCTAAGACCAGGTATCCGGACATTTGTCTGGCTCGAATTGATTTGTCGTGAACCGTCACGTTGAAGGCACCTACTGTGTGCTGAGTCGTGTGCTCAGTGCTTCGACGCAGGGCTTCCCAAACTGTGAGGAAGGACCCGGTTTGTTTTGTTGTTTTAAAAAACTTTCAAACTGCCACTTTTGTAAAGTAGGATAAAAATGAATCGCAGTGAAAGTGAGATTAAAAAAAAGATGTCAAAATGCAAGCCTCATTTTGAAAACTATTATTAGATTCAAAAGACATAAATTTCCGCTGTCAAATTGCTGTAGAGGTTTCCTGATGCTCGCTCACGCTGCGTTTGTCCCGTAGACGGTGACAAGTAAACTGGAGGTTGCACGCCCCCTGGTGGAAGGTCGTGGAAATGCCTAAAATGAACTTCAGGGTTCTGTTGGCACACGAGGGGTACCCACCGCTGGAACTGGTCCAGATGTGGGGTTGGGTCTGGATCGTGGAGCCTCGAATGCCGGGAGAGGAAATGCAACCCCTGAACAAGGCAGATGATGTTAGATCCAGCTTTGGGGCAGAGCTCTCTGCCGTGTCTTTGTGGGGTTTGTCCCTTTGTTGGGGCAGGAGGTGACACAGAAATAAACCACCTGTGATGCTGGTGGCCAGGGAGTCAGCTGGCCTGGCCCGGATTCCAGCTCCGCCACTTGGGCATGAGGTGTGGCCTCCCTGAGCCTCAGTTTCCCCACCTGTGAAATGGCAATTATAAGACTACATGCCACAAAAAAGAGACAGAATTCTATAACAATACGAAGCATTTATTGAGTGCTGACTGCATTCCAGGTGCTGTGTGAGTACTTTACGCTTAACCCCATAACTGCCTGTGAGGCGGGGGCTGTGGTTACCTTCCGTTCACACTCAGGGAAACTGAGGCACAGAGACCTTTGGTAACCCACTCAGAGTCACAGAGTGAGTGGGTGGTGGAGCTAGGATTTGAATCTGGAATTCTCCAAGACTCTGTAGTCTTAACCCCACAATAGGCAGCCACTCTTATAAATGACAGTGCACGAAGCCC